GGAACTGCAGTTCCTGCTTATTGATTTGAAGATCAAAAACCCAGCCTTGGGGCTGTCCTCCCAGGACCTTTTTGCAAGACTTGCACTCAGAGCAGGACTAAGAGAGGAAATTGATATTTCTTAGAGGCACAAGACAGAGCTGAGGCCCCTGAGCCTCTCCACAGTAATTTTCTGTGTCTGAAGCGGTTACAGCAGTTGCCTACATTAAGTACTAATAAATAGGAAAGCATTTAAAATCTTTAGATATGCACAGCAGGTGGAAATAGAAATGAGTCCTTGAGCACCACAGAGCTAGATAAATCACTGGTTGCAGCTCAGGAAGATCCTACACATAGCAATCCATGCAGGACTGGATGCTAGGAGTTACTAGGAACTGCACAGTGCCTTCCCACCTCTTCCCAGGTAGATGAAGTCCTCCGAGAAGCTTTCTCCAGTTGCCACTTTTTATAAAAACTGATACCATTTACTAGTGACAACAGAGGATAAAACCCTTGGAAAGTGCACGTACTCCACTGCCACGAACTACCTGACAAGTTGGCCGAGCTCTGTGGGAAATGTCGGTGTGTTTGCTCAGGCTCACTGGAAATGCAAATAGTTCTAAGTTTTCATGACACAGTTTTATTTTTTTATGAAGGAAGCAAGCTGAAATGCAGCATGTCAAAGTGAATCTGAAAATATGCATTTTTGTGCTAAAATTGATATTGACAGATTTTTGCATGTAAAAGCACCATAACTTCTATTTAAATGTAGCCCTCAACCACAAAAAATGGGATTATGGCAACAATGAAACCTGAAACCTTTCTGTGAGTTTTTTTTTTTTTAATATATAATTCTACTGGTTTCCCACAGTTGGGCTCTGAAGGCTTCTGACAATAATCTCTCGGCCTTCTTTCCGATGTGGTGCAGATGCTTTACAAATCCCTGGAAGTGAAGAAACGGAGCAGAAGAAAAGCTCTGAGCAGTTCATTACAGGACCTGTTCCTGGGCTGGATTAAGTGAAGGAGTGGCACCTTTGAAATACACCTCCGGACTGCATGTGTCACTGGCAAGGAAGGGATTAAAAGGAAAAACAAACACAGCTCTGTCACATCAGACCCATCTCCCATTACCTCAGTCCATTGCAGTTATCAGCCCTTTCAAAAGCAGTTATTCCACTTTCAAGTAGTAAATTCACCTGAAAGCTTTGGATGAGTTAAAATTTGAATTTTTGAAAGGTCTTTTGAGTTAGCTTCTCTTGAAAGCAACACATATGGTATCACAGGTATTACAGATATGATATCACTGTCATATGAACTACTCATATTGCTGTGCATGCACCTATTTTATCTAACATATTTTATGCTTTCTATATGTACTACAAAAAGTATGTATATATTACCGATATAACTGATATAGACAAATTACCCATCCAGGATGTTTCTGATCGGAGATCTAATTGTGCAAAGATTTATGCGTATGTTTAATCAGAGTGTAGCACAACTACTAGTGTTTTGGAATATGGAAACCTAAAACCTCATTCAGCAATCAGTGAGAATTAACTTTTTTTAAAAAAAACTTTTTTTGTATAATAGAACCATAATATTTGAGATACTTCTGTGCTTATTTTTATTTTCTTGAGAGAGGATCAAGCTAATTGAGGTGACAGTTTGCTGATGAAAGTAAATTATTCAGTGTAGTAGGGAGAAGACATGACTGGGAAGTTTGGAAGAGCATTATGAAATCAACTAACTGGACAATACAACAGTCAGTAAAATTCAATGCAGATAAATGCAAATGGACAAACATGGAAAGAAAAATAATTTGACATATCAAATGACAAGTTTGACCATTATTGAGGAGTTAGATCTTGTAGTTAAGACAGCCTGTTCCCCCCAGAAATGTCAGGTCGGTGCTGAGCTGCTGCTAAAAAGGTCGGTCAGAGTGGACGTAGTTTGGAGAATAGCCAAATGATGGAAGTTCCCATGTAAAGAGTGACCTGGTAGCCCTGGAGGAGGTGACTGGAATGGAATATGATAGAGATGGATGAAGCCAAGCGGCCTGGAGAAAGCAGGCAACAATTGCTTGTTACCCCTGCCTCTATAAGACTGGGGCTATCGTGAGGAGGCAGGTTCAAAAGAAGAATACGTAAATAAATAAATAGAGGTGTGTTTTACAGACAACAGCTATCTGAGCCCTGCAACTATTTGCCAAAGGATGTTGTGCATAATAAAGCATTTACATGGGTCAACGGCAGACTGAGTACGTTTATACAAGAGAGACCTGCTTTATTTGCTCACTTTCGTTTAAAGATTTCTTAATTCTGTATTTTAAATATTCTGCCTTTATTTCTCTTGTCACATCATGTTGTTCCTCTAAGACATTCCTCTAAGTGCATTTACTTCCAAATGTCAGCGTGACAGAGTGGCACGTTAAATTTAATACTCCTTTTCATAATTATCATGATTTCTAATAGGAACATTGTATTTCCTCGGGGAGGAGGGGGGGAAAGGTTGATGACAAGCTCTAGGCTAGCTCTCTTTCCTGCTGCGAGACTTGACTGCAAGGAGTGCATCCTTAACCCTGCAGAAATTTCCTCAGAAGTCATCAGACAGCATTGCTAGCATAAATAATAAATAAAATGTAGTATTTATGGTATCGTGCTTGTAACGTGGCTTCGGGCAAATTTGACACAGCACAGCTGATACATATTTAGTGGAGCTTTATAACTGGGATCGCATGTGAAATGCTGAGCTCGGGGCGGGTGCCTTTCTCGTGTTCCAGCCCGTATTCCGGCACTGAGGGCGACCGTTAGCGCCG